TTTCAATAGATTTTTTTCAAAAGATATTACGAGGCAAGCAAGTCGTGATTGCGCTCAGCGCGATGCCATATGTTCTACGGTCGGGATAATATTTGCCTTCATGAATATTGAACGAGCGAAATAGACCAAATAAACGGTGGAGAACGTTCGGCGCGCCATCTTTCAATGTATAGCCTCCAGACTGTTACAAAACGCAAGCGTAATAACACCTTACCATAAAAAGTCGCCCGGCTAATTCACATGCATTACTGGGCGTGCGGCCTATGACTTGCTTCTCGATGGCTCCAGCCATAATGGACACCTCAAAACAAACCGACCGTTTCGGTCTCAGGGACCAAACCGCTCTTTGATTAATAGCCTATTAAACTGCCATCTTTTCCTTATCTGTTACAAATCTGCTCGTTATTAGGTTTCAACTTGCTTTTCTGCATTTGAAAAAAGTTACACATTTTTTGGACATGCATGGTCATCCATTTTAATATATGCGGTCGTTGACATTTACCTTTACTACAAAAAGAAGCGAATTGTTTTCTGACACTTTATAACCGCTGTAGTTTCTCCAGGAAGAGTATCACTTAAGACAACTTAATTACTTTCAAGTGTATACAAACAATAGATGATTAAATATAAATTTGCTTTTAAATCGATCAATACACATTTATTAATGGAGTTATCATTTAATCTATTTCTTATGTGTTAATTCTGATTAACAGTATTTTCTCTCATTATCTATTTAGATTGGTGTGTTGGTGGAAAAATCGAAGACGGGGTACGTTTTCGATCAAATTTCGTACAGCTTTTTATTATTACGTCGTCTGGCATTGAATGCATTTCACGGAGGGTCATCGACACGGTGGTGCGCACGCGTCAAAATTCCATTCTTTCTCGTGAGGAAAATTCCACAAGGGAGATTCACTCAAACGAGCCGCCTCTGATACATCAACCGCAACCGGCCACCGCCGAGGTTGGAATTTATAAGTTATATCACATAAACCCCCCATAAAAAAACGAAATATTTCGGTTAGTCATATCTAAAAGTAAAAAATTTCAATGCAAATTTATTTGAATTAAATTTTACTATATTTAACATTTATCGAAACATTGATAATTTTAAACATAGGAATTTTTACGCCGACTTGGAATAACGATTTTTCATTTAGTATAAAAGAAAACGTCTTTGGACGTACACGCGATGAGTTATCTATTTTTTCATGGTTTTAATGCTGTTAACCAGCGAAAATCTCAAATGTATACTCGTTGCAGAACCATTCGAAGAAGATCTAATTATGCTCTTTATAAAGAATTAAAAGTAAGTAGTACGTGTAATAAACGTTCAAAAGTGGTCAATTCACATAACAGTACTTAAGGTTGCGGTAGATAAGATCTGAAGTTTTCTCGATCATTCGGCTACTCTTAAGATTTCAGAGGAACATCTCCTCGGGGGACTTTCAACGTTATTGGTGAACACGCCTACACGACGTACCGAGCGTGAAATTACCCCCGAAATTAATAAGGTGCAAAAATGTCTGGTCAATGCACGTTTTTGTTCCCGGAGCGTTCATATTTCGGCGAGAACGAAATTGCCGTTGAGGATTTATGGTCGCGAGCCGCCCAAACTCGATAATAACCAGAGTCTCTTATTATTATAATTCGATAACGGACCCAGTGCATTAATCCCAATGAGTTATGTAACCCCTTGCGGTTTTTCGTACACCTTTATTTCGTTTTATATACCTACACGAACTTGAACTGTTTATATACAATACAATGTGGTTGATGTCGATGTCGTTTATATGATGATGTACTAATTATACAGTGTGTTTCTGTATAACAAACTGTAAATCGTAGCATAATTTTAATCACAAATATTGAGGAAAAAATAATGAGGATTCGTGTAAATTTTTTTTGTATAAACTCATAAATGGCAAAAGTATAAAGTTAAAACATTTTTTAAACATTTTCTGAAATATTTTTAGTATGGTTTGTCTTTAAATTTAAAATTTGGCAAACACTGCAATATTATCTTAAGAAATCCTTTAAGATCATAAGGCCCTAGAAATTTTTGATTAGACGCATCGTTTTCGAGTTATTCGCGAAAAGATACAACCTCGATTTTGAAATGTTTTTATTAATCGTAGGTGCCTATGAAAACAAATTGTATGTAAAGCGGGAATGCAACTGTCGAATTATTATCCACCATACGTTAGTGGCTAAGAGTTGTATAAAATGGCAAATAATAACAGTTTTAGTGAGCAAAATGGTAGGATTTCAACGTTGGGTGAGTGTTTAGGCAATGCTAACGCAGCGGCGAGGTGATATTGTAAAAAGTATCCAACCTCAGCCAACCTGATAAAAAACATTACTAAAAGTATGTAAATAACGTGAATCAGAGGTCACTTTGTACTTTGTAAGAGTGCATAGAAGAGTGCAGCAGTGTAGAATGAAAGAAAAGGAGAAGGAGTACAGAGCATGGAGGAAAGAAGAACGGCAGGAATTAGAGAAACTAGGAATTGGAAAAAATCTAAACTTAGGATTATAACGGGCAATGACTAAGAGTGACGAATTCTCATGAAGCAAGGTGAAATACTGAAAAGATGGGTAGTTTGTTATGAACAAAAACTGGAAACAGAACAAGCAAAACTTAGTCTGATCCTCTTAAGTTTTTTGATCTGGTTCATATTATTGAAAATTTGGATGGCTTCTACATCATGGAAACCATTATGGATGGCTTCGCTAATGGCCTGACTAACAATGCTCCTTTATAATTTGTCTTGGTATCGTTGCACTACTTCTAAATTGCTCCTACTGCTATAATCCCATAGCGGGATGCTATGCAAATGTTTCTGTAAGTCGTAGCATAACTTTAATCACAAATACTAGTGTAAAAATGATGTCGATCCCTGTAAATATTTTTGGTCTAAACCCAAAAATGGCTAAGATATGGGAAGTTCTACTAACACAGCGGCGAGATGATGTTGCAAAAAATTTGCCAAGCGCAGACAACTGGATAAAAAACATTTCTAAAAGTATATAAATAACGGAAATCAGACATCAGTTTGCATACCCGAACTAGAAGAAAGTTAATACTCTTGCTATAAGAAAATATTTCGGAATATTCAAAAGTACGGCTTGGCGTGTCCCACATAAACAGCAATTGTATCCATAAATCGACAGTGCCAATACACTCATCCATCGTTCAGCCCTCACCCCCTCTTCCAAAATCTGCCTTGTTGCTCCATCACCTCCTCCCTCAACTCGCTGTGTTTTCAAGAGGTGGTCCAAAGTCTCGACTTGCTCCCTGCACAGCCTACACCACCTTTCATCCTCATCCACCCAATACTTATTTCTACTTTCCTCGTTTCCACAGCGGAATCTGGCCACCAATATTTTCCCTTCCTTGTCCCCTTCCATCAAAAGTTGCGTAGATAAAGTGTCCGATGATGCACGCAAGATGCTGATGGTAAAAGTGTGGCGAAGAATAGCAGTAGATAGAAGAGAAATGAGGCAGAAGAGAAAAGAGACCACCTCATCTTGGGTTGTGGTGCCATTGGAAGGAAGGATATATTTTCATTTTAAAAAATTAAATCAACTTGCCTGTATATATTCCTGCAAAACTTCATAAATGGTACTCAATACTTTGGGTTGAAAACTCAAAGTTATCTTATGTGGAACTGGAAATAACGATTAGAGACTGTCCCCAGTTGCAAAGTATCTAAGGATATCCTCAAGTCGACTGTGCAAGAATTAAATATTGCTGCAAAATGTACTATTGATGCTGCTTTTTTAAAAAAAAGCCTTTACTGATGACCAAATAGTTTGAGAAATGCTCATAATTGGACTTAACAAAGTCCAGATTTTACTGTCCGTTGAATAATTTCACAAATTGCTTTCCTTACAATTTGTTTTCATGGGCGCCTACGGTTAATGACAGTATTCCAAAAACGAGGTTGTATCTTTGTGCGAATAACTCTAAAACGATGCGTCTAATCAAAAATTTCTAAGAATGAAAATCATTTTAAAATGAAATAGGCTTCTAGAATCAGTTAGAAAATTTAAGGGTTTATGTGCATATTTTTAAAAGTGATCTTAAACGATTTCTCATGATAACATTGCACAGTTTGCCAACTTTTATCTTTCTAAGACAAACAATATTGAAAAATGTAAGAAAATGTTTAAAAATGTCTTAACTTTAAAAGCTCATATCTTAGCCATTTATGGGTTTAGACCACCGATTTTTGCACGAAGCGTTATCATTTTTACTCTAGTATTTCTGATTAAAATTACTGTTGCTGAATTTCCGGAAGCTATTGTGCGACTTAATAACGATCTATCTAAGGTCTTGAACTGGTCTAGGAGATACGGACTTAAGTTGAACTCAGTTAAAACGCAAGCTATTGTGTTTTGTTTGTGGAACTCATCAATTACTTTGTGAGATTAATCCATCTACCTGCAATGATCTGATGCTGGATGGAAACGTCATACGGTTTTCTGACACAGTTAAAAATCTTGGGGTCCTTATGGATTCTGCACTGTCTGGGAAAAGGCAAATTCAACATGTTGTATGCTGAAAAGTGTATGCTTGCTTTCACTCTTTAAAAAGACTTCGCTGCTCTATTCCTCCGGTGGTCCGTCGTAATCTTTGCTATTCACTTATATTTGCTCTCATCGACTATGCGGACGCGGTTTATCACTATTATCACTACTTACCATATTCAGTAAATATTATTTTTTTTTGTTCTGTTGGGTCATTTGGCAGATATCGCTTGTGCGATAAAATGATCCATTTGCTGATACTGCTCATACTGCTTATACTGTTTAAGTTTATCCATTGCTCGAGTAACAATCGACAATGGGATTTTATGTATATGTTTTTGTTATGTGTAATTTTGTATTCTTATTTGTGGCAATAAATGGTAAATAAACTAAAATTATGCCACAACTTACAGAAACACCTGTATAATTTTAAAACACTTAAATAAATTTGTTTTTTTTTATTTCAGACGAAACGTGATTTGGTTTATTTGGTCGATAAATATTTTGGAAATCTCTACGACAACTACACGGGTACAAGAGACCTCATTGTTCGTCAAGTAAGAAACCGTCTTGTATGCGATTATGAAGGTTGTTTACAAAAATTCGAGGATAATTTTTGCGTACCAGCAGCGATTCTCCTCCAAGAAGTTAAGGTAATTAAAATTTTAAATCTAACGGTAAAAACAGATGGTCAATTTAAATTTCAAACATTATTATTTGTTTTCGACGCTTTTCACGTTCCAATAGGTGTTATCGTAGCCTTATCAACTTTCGTAGCTGAAGGCAGATCAGCCTCCGCGACTCCCACGTGTTATGTACGAAGACACCTGCGTTATTGGAACATTTGGAACGTAATCGGTGCGGTTCCTTAAGAACCGTCGGCACCTCGTTACAAGAGGTTTGCCTTTGGGGGGAACGGGACCGGGGGCAATTAAAATAAATTGGTCCGCGGTATCGGACCGACGAATCTGAAGGTACTTGCGTCAGAAATGGACCGGAGTGACTCTCGTACGCGAGCGGCAATAACCAGAAAGAGTGGGCGAAAATTACTTATTGTCGACGTTAATGGGACGGGATGTTCGTTTTTTTTTCAATGCTTGCGCGTGTTAACTTCGATAGAGTCATTAAGGATTTATTTACGAAATGATTTTAAACTTTGTTGGTGCGTGGGAATTCTTAACGATTTCACGCATTTTTGAAACCAAATAGTTTTAGTTCGTTTTATGTATCATACTCCTTTTACCTGTCACTCAAGAAGGCGTCTTAATTACTTTCGGTACCGAAAACACATAATTGTTTAGATAAAACGAAACGGCTCGTCGACTGGATGAAACGTAGATTTTCACCGCGTCCGATAAAACCGTGGGTGGTCCCGTGACTAGGTTTTTGTGTCTTCGTCCGTCCTTCTCTTGTTGCTGTTTATGCGTCTCATTAAGTCAATTCTTGGAATCGGTCCCACCCCGTTCGGGGTAGGGGGAAAATATCAGCGGTGTTTTATCTGCAGAGGGACTATGTGACGTGACCCTCTCGGTGGGAGAACAACATCCTTTTCTGTAAAGGTGCGTTCAAATTCGTTTGAAAATTGAGCTTATCTTCCTTGCACTTAACGTTCAAATGAAGATAAACCTCGAGGATGTTTTCGTTTTACTATAACGTATTCTTAAGAAATGTCCTCGTTAACGGTCTTAAGTCTTGTGTGGATATAGTGGAGATGTTGGGTTTAGTCTAAACGCTCCTTCGGGTGGAAGAGGTAGGAGATCGTTATCTCGATGTTCACGGAGATTATTTATCGAGGACACGGCTCGACATCTAGAAGAATTGATTTCTAAAACGGCCCGTGTAGGAGTGGGCAGAAGTCGCAGCAGTAATGGGACCGCAAACCGTATTCATGATTGGTCCACGAGCAATATTTCATCGCGGTACATCTTGAAAGAGTACTTAACGTTTCTGTCACTCGACGCGGCATCTGTCAGGGTTAATAGTTCTGGGAACTGTCGCCTTACGTCGTTTTACGTTGTAGATTCCGTCCTCGTTCTTCTTTACTTCTTCTAGCAGTCCGATAACCACGACAAACTCTGCTTCAACATTGTTCTTGTCCTCGTCCTTATTAATTATCAAGTGCAAATCATTTTCATCATCCTTCTTCACCGACTTACAATTAGTCGACGATGTGGTTTTTCAATACACAACTCTAATGATATATTCTTTAATATCACAGTATCAAAAAGATTTTACCGACGTCATCCCTGGTGATGAATTGACCGGATCTCAGGAGCTACCTAATTAAGGGAATTAAGTTTGACACATTTTTCCAGTTGCATTTTCTTTTCGTATCATGAATTAACTTTCTCAGCATACAACAGGTTATTCGTGCAATTTCTCGACTATCAGTATATACCAGTTATCCTACTAATTAACATCTCCACGTCTGGGGAAGAAAGGTCAAGAGCTCTGATACACTCCTTTGTGCTCCTTCTTTGTTGTCGCTCTCGCATTGTTGGGGATCGTATTCTTCGTATTAGTCACACACACATGCATGTGTGTCTGCGTGTGTTAATTAATTTTTCTTCGGCAGCATTAAACCACAACACGAGTACTTTGAGCTTATCAAAACTTTCACCGGAATTGTTTACGATTAGACCTCGATTTCTTCATGGAAAAGAAAAACAAGAATTTAATTTGTTTTGGTAGTAATTTTCTTTTAATAGGAACTTGATGGCCAATTTCCTATGTTAAAAATTGAGACAACGGGTTATTATCTACAGCCAGGCCAAAGAAATTGAAGGACACTAACTGACAGTATAACGGTAGGGTGCCCGGATGATGTAGAAAGAAAAAAGTAAGGGTGCGGTTTTTCTTTGTTTGACTTCCAGGTAGTCATTGTTTACCTCAAGGATTGTAGATTTTGGTAGCCGATAAAAAAATTTGTTTTAGGTTTGAGTTGATTAAGGATTAATAATTATTATTATACTTAAATTTTCTCAACTAAAGAAAACAACACCGGTATGTTTTAATTTTAAATCTTCTCACGTATATGAATCGTGTGATATCCCGAACTATCGTGTTTGTAATTCTAAAAAGTAAGAATTCTTTAAAATTTCTTTGTCTACTTTTTAGAAGTAGAGTTTAGCATTATAACGGCAATTCCAACAAAAAGCTTTTTATGCTGATAAAGTTAGTATGAACTCGAAGTATCGTATGTCTTTTAATAAAGCAATAAAATAACCATGATTTTATTATAGTACCGGAACTGAATCCGATAATTAGCGAACCTCCCTTTTCTTGTCAACCATCTTCGCATCTAATAACCTTATATCAACTGGGAAGCGGAAATTTTGTATTACTTGATTAGAAATTGGCGTTATCATGATTTATCTCCTCTTATCTGATTAAGTTACAACCATTAGGATGCTTATCTAATTAAGAAAATGACGGAAAGGAGTCCAACTATATCAATGATTTTTTTTATACTACGTTCTCTTCCTTAACTGTTTTGTAGTTGTCACGAACAGGTAATGTTTAGGTCGAGCTGGTCAATATATTCGTTTTTATTGTTGGGCGGGCGAGACATTTATAACGTTTCGGTGGACAGGTAACTGGTGGCTTTTAGAACGACCCAGGTAAAATCTGAGTCTTTAATGGGACGTAGCACCGGCAAACTAAAAAGAGGCGTTTTTGAATTTCAAAGCACCTGAAAAAATATATGGACCGACACAATAGGAAGTTATTGTTCCCTTTACTTTTATAAAAAATAATATGTTTTGTAAGGCGACTATAAATAAAACGCTAACAGGTTTATGATTATTACAAATTACGATCAAAAATATTTCAAAGTAAATGTAAAGGACAATTTAGAAATATAATAAATAAAATAGTGAAGTCACGAAATAAGCATCATCACTCTTATAACGTTATGAACTCTGAGAAACGTGAGTTAAGGTTTCGAGTTTTCGAAGTTTCATTTAACTTCAACATAAGAAATCTTTTTAATCCTATGTCAAAAGAAATAAACAATTTCATGTTCGTGGGAAACATTGAAGTAAATACCTCTTTATTTGATGACTCTTCAAAACCTATAAAATCCGTGAGAAGTTGGCAATAAATTGCTGGCAATTAAATTTAAACTATAAATAGTTGGTTTTATAACATTTTCCTTCAGTTAGCATTTATCCCACAGTGGAATCACGTTTATGTTACAGTTTAATTTTTTAAATAAACCTTTGACTTTGTTTTAGAAAGTTTTATAACCATAAATGAAATTTTCTTTCTTGAGTAACACTAAAATACGACACGAACCAGATTTTTATCCTCGCCTAAATCCTATAACATGCTTTCGTCGTCAGTTCTTCTTGCGCCTATCGTTTGTGAATCGCAATTTATAGTAATATCACAGTTCAAACGCCTCGCCGCGACGTCATAACGTCTCTTGCGCCGTAAGCCGACACATAATGGCCACATAAACACTTGGAATCGGGTCAAAACGAGGAATTACCTTCTTCCACTTTCACGGCAATGATCTCGCCTCTATATTACAAGAGTTATAGGATAGCAGTTCATGCGTTTTTCCTCCCGATGCGGCCGGTCAGATGAGATCCCCTTCAGAGAGGAAGGATAGAGAAGGGAATTGAAGAGAACGAAGAGTACTTAGCGCACATTATCCCCACTATGTTCAGCCACGAGCGCTCATAATTTGGTTAGTTGCGCTTCGATGCATTTTCTAGTGTTAAAACCCCAGGGGGACATTGAACATAAGCCCTAATTACAGTTGTTGTATAATAGGTTCACACCCATTTCGTTCTAATATAACATTCAAACCATTTAAAAATTACAAAAGACTTTGTGGTCCTTTTTTTTAATGTTTTGTTTCGCCTTATAGTCATTTAAAATCCAACAAAACACGATATGAGAACAGCTTTGGCTTGTTATTTTTTATTTTGTTTTTTTAGATGATGGGGTGTTGTGGTGAATTTTAGTTGGGGTTACGAAACGATATGGTATTAAATGCACAATAGGTTGAGAGAGGGTGAGAAAATTTCGGAGTAACGAAGGGCGTATTGTTGCTATTGATGGGTTGCATTAGACACACACGTGTGATGCGGCGATTTCAGTATCATCCTTTTGTTAGAAATTGTTTGGATCCCTAATGCAGTTGATAGTACTTAATTGTGGGGGAAATAAGGTTGAGAACAGTGTATAATTCAGTTTTATAGAAATCGCAAATTCACTATTCTTTATATGTAGGTGGGGAGTATTAGGTTCATTTCTGAAATTGTGTACATGACAGAAATTATTTTTTATGATACTCAAAAATGGGGCTAAATTTGATAATTATTTACGATTGAGATATTCACAAAGAGAAGACACAATTTCCTGTAAGATTTAACATAAATTTAAATCGTGAACAAAAGCAAGCTTATTTATCTAGAATCTTTAAATAAGTGGCGTATAAATATGGTATACTTGGAGAACCAACATTTATCATCTTGGGCTTCTATTATCTCTCCCCTTTTTTGTTGTCCAACAGTGGACGCTAGGTGTAGAATACTTTCGACCACCCAAGATAGGTTTCCACACCTCACGTTCCATTCGTAAGGTTTGGGAGGGCTATAGCTTTATAACCTTTCTACTTTTCGAAAATGGACTTTCCATTAAC